GGAAAGGTGTCAGCTGTTTCCATCTCATGCAATACCACAGGAAGGGTGTCAGCTGTTTCCATCTCATGCAACACCACAGGAAAGGTGTCAGCTGTTTCCATCTCATGCAACACCACAGGAAAGGTGTCAACTGTTTCAATATCATGCAACACTACAGTAAAGGTGTCAGCTGTTTCTATCTCATGCAACACCAGAGGAAATTCGTCAGCTATTTCCATATCATGGAACATCACAGAAAAGGTGTCAGCTGTTTCCATCTCATGAAACACCAAAGGAAAGGTGTTAGCCATTTCTATCTCATGCAATACTACAGAAAAGATGGCAGCCAACCTTAAAAACCTGTAACTCTGACACTGTTAAGATCAACGACAACCTGTGTTTTTGACAGAAGATGAATAAATAAGTTCTGGTTAATTTTGTGTCAACTACATCACCTCACCAAGGTTTGATTTTCAAATTTCCACGCAAGACTATTTTTTAATTTCATTTTATCACACCAGGTGCTGTGCAATTATAAGATAAAAAAAACACCATGTTTTTATAGGCCTATAAATAAGTTTGTTTACTTCTTTTTGGATACTTATGGAAAGCCCTTCAAGGGCTACACTAATTGTTACTCATTTTGAACTGATAAGAAAGGCATCTAGTCAACATCACTCACCACCAACTCTCCTCTTACCAAATGGTGGAATTTGACCATCGTTCTTATAAAATACTCAGCCAAAAGTGCAGAGCCCTATTGTTTTTGTGTTTTTCTTTCAGTAGCAGGAAACAAACATTAAATCTATAGGCAAGCACAATATCCAGTGTGTATAATTTTACTTTTCATTAACATTTTTAAAATAGCTAAGCCTAACTAAGCAACTTCAACTTTTAATATTTTCTAAATAAATAGAGAGGTTATTATATTAACTTAAATTATGTCTACACTTTTCTACCAATCCTCTCTGCCCAAAAAGTTTTCTACTGCTTGTTTAGATTCATTTTTCTGGTTCCTAAACTTTTCTGTCTCTAACTTTATTCTTTCTATATTCACAATTTCCTTGTATCTGACAAAAGATTATTTGATATTACACAGTTATCATTTGTCTGGTTGTTTCATGACACAAAGAAAATAAGCAAGAGAACCTCCCTGAATGCTTGCTCAATAAAAGGTTTGTGATTCTTTTGTTACAAACAAATTTATGTTCGTGCTCTTGCACACACACACACAGTATTAAGTTTTGTTTTATTACTCAGAAAGTACTGTTAGTGATAAACAAAAAATAATAATGCAATATTTTTAATAATATATTATAAAGTTTATGAAAATGTTTTAAGTAGAACAAATTCCAATTTTTATGAAATGTTTGGATCCTTACATTAGTTATATTTAAATTTCATTGCAAGGTTTTAAGGCAAGTCTTCTCTAGGTTGGCATGTGAAATACTTGTTTTGTAAACATAGAACACCATACTTACACTAGATTTTGTGAGGTCTAATCTTGTGGCTCCTTCTTCCTTACAACGACTAAATTCTTTTGATACATCCTGAAAAAATACAATTAGCTGGTGAACATAATTATATAAAAAAAAAAAACAACAACTCCCAAATGGATAATCAAAAGTACAACCCTCCTGCCTACAGATCAGCATTCCAAATGCAACATTACAGCCAAAATCCCTCCATGGGCAGAACAGGTATGACCTGAAAAGAATGACAAAGGAAGAAAGGCAGCTAGAAAGATACCAACTTAATGATTTTCCTGACCATATTTTAACTGAAAATTACATATACTCTGAAATAACTAATAACTTTATAATAATTTTTTATTATAAAAAATAATAAATTCTTATTATGTTTATAAAATAAACCACAGTTTTCCTCTCTCCCTTATGTCAGGCTTGTCCTCAGTCTGACAACTTACATTAATTTTAAAACCAATAAACTCTGTACATGCAACCTAGTCAAGGAGTATTATAACTTTCTCTCAATCCTGTAAACACTCGCACACACACACACACACACAGATAATACAATCCTTTAACAAGAAACTACAATACATAATAATAATAAAAAATATTTAACATAGATACAAGTTGGCATACTATAAAATACAGATTCAACTGTCAATACATGATATACAACATAAATCCATAAACAATGAATACAAAATGAAAGGAATTATAATATCAACCCTGATACAATAGAATTACATAAAACAGACAATTTATCATTAACACAGATTAAATAATAATAATAGTGGATAGAGATGGGAAAACAATGGATTACATGTGAGAAATTATGACCTTGATTACTATCTCACAAACTAATAGATTAATTGAAATTACAATTAATTTAGAAAACTGTGTGCTTATAAAATATTTCAATCTATATGACTGAGAATATTCCCTCACAACCAAATGAAACACTGAATACATCAAGTTTATGTACAGATAAACAGATATGTTTATCTGTACAGATATGTACCATATGTCTTCTAGCACCTTTAGTTATCAAAAAAAATTCTCAAAATTATATTGTTTTTACAGTTTCCTGGTTGGACACAGAGATGTACTCAAGTCAGTTACAAACTTAAGCTTTATTCAAGCTGTGAACTTGGTTAAGTGAAGGCCAAAGTATACTTATTATGTTCTTTTAGAGGAATTTCAATTTTTAGTTAGTGAACTGAGTTATTCTCATTGTCTGATCACTGGCCAGCTGATTTAACAAAAACTAATCTGGTACTTGAGAAATTATTGACATATTTAAGGCAGTGCTTGGAGCTTCAAAAAGAAGAATTTTCACAGAATTTATGAGATTTAATACAAGTTTCAAAGCAGTTTACATAGTTTCCAGTTCCCCCTTATATTTTTCCACTATTCCTGCAGTTGTGTATTAGTGAGTAAGTCTCTGGCAGAAACCTTCAGATTTCATGTTAAGAGTCTGAGTAACTTGTTTAAGGCTGTTGTTGTTGTTGTTCCTTGTGCTCACCTTAAGAAAGCAAGATTTAAGTAAACAATTACTGTCTTATACAGTACATACAGCTTCATTACATGTTGTCGTATACACTAATAGCTTGAAACATACTGCTTCTGGTTCCTGCTACAAATTACTTCGATAGCCTTCTTTGGCAACATCATGCAGGCTACATTTTGAAAGCTGCAGTGCACTACTGTGCTGACATCTAGGAGCCATCAAATTCAACTTGTTTTTCTTTTTGAGGATCACAAAATAATCGCCAACAGAATTCAGCCAAATTAGATTTTTCATCTAAAATTATCATAAGTCAGAATTGATATTTATGCTGTTATTGCAGTGTTATACATTCAGAGGAAACACAACTCCTTCATTGCATGTGGAAAGTCGTACACTCTTCCGATGTATTGGGAAATATCTAACAAGGAATATACTTCAAAGAGCTATCGTCACTCAGTTAGATCAGGTGAGTTTTAAATCCAATATCTTGCCTGGAAAACACAGGTTGGAGAACACTGGTTACAATGCCTTCTCAGCTGAACTCCTGAACTCCTAGCTATCACGTTCAACTGTACAAACTGTTAATTCACTAGTTATAATATCTACTGGCATCAGCAGCCCTAGACTGTGTTAAATGAATAGCTATCATCTGGTGTCAATTTCAAGCCCGTCTTTATTTGCTGGAATGACAGTTTCGGGTTCTCAGCCTCAAACTCAAAGATTTGACCAAACACTAAAACATCACTGACATAGATCGGGCGCTGTTCCCATTGGAGCCATTTCAGTGTAACATTCATTAGCTTATTGAAGGCGGCATGGAACGAACTTAATAAAAGCCATCTATTGTGCTGAAAGCAGTCTTAGATTTGCTCTCATTATCTAGCTGAATTTATCAGTATACGAATGTTAGGTCTAACATACTGAACCTGCATCTGTTCGTAGCAGTACAAAAGCACTGATGTGAGTTATCACATTCACTCATCTAAAATAAATATCTGAGCCTTCCTTCTTTCTGACAATCACTACTGGAGATGACCAAGTACCTTCTGATGGTATGATTCTGTCCTATAACACCTGCTGGAGATGACCAAGCACCATCAGAAGGTATGATTCTGTCCTATAACACCTGCTGGAGATGACCAAACACCTTCTGATGGTATGATTCTGTCTTATAACACCTGCTGGAGATGACCAAGCACCTTCTGATGGTATGATTCTGTCTTATAATGCACTGAATCTAGATTTTCTGCAGAATCCTCAACGAGAAATCTCAGATAACCGTGTACTCACTTTCAGACATGGAACAACAAATGCTAGTCTCAGTTACTTCCACTTGGCTTACAATGTCAATGACCATTCTAGTGTGAAGCTGGATAACCATGTGCCCATTGTTGTAGAACAAAACAGGGACTTCATCCCTCATTGGACACACAACTGCTCGAGCTAATTATATATTACTAATGCATTAGATTCATCCATAGTAAACCACAGAACACCACTTGTTTACATGGGTACTGTGACATTCATGCAGTTCTCGAATAAAGTCTGGCCAACTTGAGATAAACCTTCCACAGGCAAAATTGACTAATATGTTCACCAATATGTCCACCGCAAGGTTGGCAGCAACTACTTTCGTTACACGAGTCAAGCCCTAAGTAGCCAGAGTTACCTCTCCATTTGTCATAACGAAGTTCTTATCAACTGACCCGAGTTGTGGTTTCACTAAGAGCACATAAAAAGAATCATCAAGCTTTGAGAGAGCTGGGCTAGCCATCAAACCTTCTTGTGCAAGCTGTCTGTTGCACTCTTCTGAAAGTTTGCAGCCAGGCCTGACTTGGGTTCTGTAGTTTTCTGTAACTGTAGCAGCATTGTTCACCACCTGTTATTGGATGTCCTGTGCCCGTAGAGCCATCATTCACCATCAAACCTTCTTGTGCAAGCTGTCTGTTGCACTCTTCTGAAAGTTTGTAGCCAGGCCTGACTTGGACTCTGTAGTTTTCTGTAACTGTAGCAGCATTGTTCACCACCTGTTATTGGATGTCCTGTGCCCGTAGAGCCATCATTCACCAACAAACCTTCTTGTGCAAGCTGTCTGTTGAACTCTTCTGAAGGTTTGCAGCCAGGCCTGACTTGGGTTCTGTAGTTTTCTGTAACTGTAGCAGCATTGTTCACCACCTGTTATTGGATGTCCTGTGCCCGTAGAGCCATCATTCAAAACTGCCAGTCACGTCTACCTTGCTGATCAACAAGGTATGGGTAGTTCACTGGAAAGTGACCCAAAACTCCTCAGGCAAATCAAATACTTCACTCTTCTTTTCCAGAATGATTTCTGGTACCATTGGTTCAGGCTATAATATGTAAACCACAGGAGGGCACTGAAAACCAATGTGGTTGATTGGTTAACCATTAGCTAGGCTCAAGGTTAGCTTGATGTAGTCTTTATTTACACTTCACCAAAGTATACATAGATGTCAGTAACAGTCTTCTGATTCTGTTACTGATTGATCTGAGTCAAAAGTACTCAAATGTATTCTTGAGCCCTATCTACAGCTTTAACTACCACTGAGCATAATATGTTGTCTTTTTACACACTACCAACACCTGTAACAACCATCAAGCATAATGCCATGTTGTCTTTTTTCACACTACCAACACCTGTATCAAGCATAATGCTACGTTGTCTTTTTACACACTACCAACACATGTAACAACCATCAAGCATAATGCCACGTTGTCTTTTTAGGTGTTGGTAGTGTGTGTAAAAACCATCAAGCATAATGCCACGTTGTCTTTTTACACACTACCAACACCTGTAACAACCATCAAGCATAATACCACGTTGTCTTTTTTGCACACTACCAACACCTGTAACAACCATCAAGCATAATGCTACGTTGTCTTTTTACACCCTACCAACACCTGTAACAACCATCAAGCATAATGCTACGTTGTCTTTTTACACACTATCAACACATGTAATGATTTCCACATACATATGCTAAGAAATCCAGAAGGCTTGGTATCAAAATATAATAAACGAAAGCTTTTCTAATAATGTAAGTATTATTTTTTTATTATTAACCAATTCAAACAGCTAAAATTGAGAAAATTATAATAAATTTACAATTTTATTGTCCTACATACATCTTTGAATTGCCTCAATGGGTCTATCAAACAATTGCCTATATGGATGTCCTAATGTGAAAGATTCATCAGATTTACTAGAAATTATATACTTCATATTATGTTTTCTTTTTCCCTAAGAGCATCAAATACAAGTTACTGGACTTTAAGTTGCTACGATGCAATTGAAAAGTTAACATATCTTTGTTACTGCTATTATAAGTTAGTTTAGTGAATTATAAAGTCCTCCATCACTCTGAATCACATAAAAATGCCTAATAACGTAAAACAACAACAACTTACCAAATCTGCTTGAGTAGAAACCCTTTTCCTAGCAATGCCAGTAGGTTTTGGTTTTGTTGTGCCTGGATGTGTTACAGTAACCTGCTTTGCAGGCCGCGCTACTTCTCCGGCCCCTAAAGACCCCGAACTCGTCTTCTTTTCCTGTAAAAGAGAACAACCACGATAAGATCTCATCCGATGAATTCTACGTTTAGTTGCAAACGTTCTTCTTGTTTTTCCTGTAGAGATAAATAAACCTTGTGAACCTATCCAGACATTCCATAAACTCACCTGTTATCTACACCAGGAACAACCAATAAACTATAAACTCCCCTGTTATCTACATCAGGAACAACCAATGACAAGTTACACACCTTCTATAAACTCACCTGTTATCTACACCAGGAACAACCAATGACAGGTTACAAACCTTCTATAAACTCACCTGTTATCTACACCAGGAACAACCAATGACAAGTTACATACCTTCTATAAACTCACCTGTTATCTACACCAGGAACAACCAATGACAGGTTACAAACCTTCTATAAACTCACCTGTTATCTACATCAGGAACAACCAATAACAAGTTACAGACCTTCTATAAACTCCCCTGTTATCTACACCAGGAACAACCAATGACAAGTTACACACCTTCCATAAACTCACCTGTTATCTACACCAGGAACAACCAATGACAAGTTACACACCTTCCATAAACTCACCTGTTATCTACACCAGGAACAACCAATGACAAGTTACACACCTTCCATAAACTCAC